GCTGGAGCTCGGGCGGGCTGCGGCCCTCAGCCCCGCGGGCCTGCCCTGCCCGCAGGGTGCGGCCGTGCTTATCGCGGCTTAGGAAGCGAGGTTAGGGCCCGAGAGGGGCGATGCCAGCGCCCGGCCTCTTGCCGCAGCTCCTTTGTCATGTAAGCGTGTCGCCATTCAGGGCCAGACTTCAGAGGGCAGGAATACACACAGGGCTGCAGCCTCGGGGCCTGCCAGAGCCGTCTCAGCCGCGAACAGAGCCGCTCCGAGGGGTTTACACCCAGTCCTTGACACGAACGTCGTGAAATTCCGTGGCACTGACTGTGGCGTTGGTTCCCACTTGGCTATCGTCACGCCAACAGCACCTCCGTGCTCTGCAGTCTGCCAACACAGCCCATCAGATCACGCCGTGCGATGGGATTTATAATAAATCGACGGATTGTGTGGTTTTAACATCCTCTCGTTACGCTGATCACCCCTAGACTGGGTATGGAATACTTTTCCTTAGGAAGAAATGCAGACAACCCGCTTCAGCAGCTGTAATGTCCTTAGCAGCGCTGCTTTCCTTGCTACCACCGCTTTCCCCTGCAGTGGTCAGCAGTTGGAAAGAACGTGCACAACTTACACCAAGTCCAGGGATGAGTTGGGGTTCTTTAAATTCCCTAGAAACCCCAAATTGTTCATTTTCTTTAGAAAAGGAGCTGCTTTTTCCAGGGAAAAATAAACTTTATTCCACAGCCCACTAAAACACAGCAAGTCGCTTTTGCGCCTCCATCTTCAGAGAGACTCGTTGCTCGGTTTTATAAGAAACAGTACTTAAACCCATTTTTTTAAATATTTTGAGTGATCTGAGATGACTGGTTTGACAATAAAAATATGATGAGCTTTTGCCTCATTGCAGGAATAATTTGGGTTCATGTAATGCCTTGTTTAAGCTTAATTTGTCTCCTTTGGAATTACTGCCATTTCCCCAATCAATTCAGATGTGCCCCATCCTTCGTGCAAGTCAATACTCATGAAAATCAAGCTGATCAGGAAAGAAAGAGGGGCATTCAGAGCCACTGCCTGCCTGCATAGCCAGCCCCAAAATACACTGTGTGAATTAATGAGCCATAAGGAGGAAGGCGTATTAACAACCAACCACATCAAGGAATTCTTTTCTTTCTCCTCTTAGCTGGATATATTGGATTAAAAGCCACTACGGCTGAGTCACAGACGCTCAAGTTTTGCATGCTTACAGCCCGCTTGTAGGTCAATAAGACTACAATAATTGAGACAGCAAGATGTTTTCCTGAAAAGGATCTAATTTGTTTTGCTGGCAACACACGGCAGTTCCCGCTGTATGCTTTATACATGCCCTATTACTGACAGCGAGGCCGTTTCTAGGCTGAACTTGTGAACCTGTTTGTTTGTTGAGACAGGGAAAACAACAACACCACAGGCAATGCCAAAGTTTTATTTCAAACTACTGCAATACTGCGTTAGTTGCCGACTGCTGCGGAGCAAACCTCCCAGCAGTTTCTTCTCTTCATACACACGTAATACTGCGACTTTACAGGCATCAGAAGCCTGTCACTACAATACTTCTGCGTAACTGCAAGCTGTTAAAAAAAAAAAGGCCCAGTTTTGATAGTGGTGACTTATTTCTGGACTACAGTCTGCCCTCACCATTTCCGATTCTACTGCAGGAACGATTCCCAGCTCTGTGGACCCGTAGCACGCTGTCATCGACGGATAAAATACACCGTTAAACTCCATGTGGTTTTGAGTCCCACAGCCACAAATTAAAAATTACGGGGAATGAGAAGCACACGGCAGAGTGAAATAAGTGCAGTTGGCCCAGAGTCGCGCAGGGTTGAAGCAGGCACAGCGGAAGGGAAAAGCAAGCGCCCGCCTTTTCGAAACGGGTCATTCCTGACGAAGGCACCAGCGAAACACGGTTCATCCTAACACAGACGAGGCTTTTCTGACTCACATCTGAAAGATTAAAGTTTTTATCCACCTGCATGAACGAGACTTAACGGTTTCAAGTGTTTCTTAAAAACTGATTCACTCAGGTGGGGTTTTCCCTTCAGCTGTTTTAACGCTGAGAATTATTTCAGCAGGCACAAGCTGGGCACAATCAATTCCAGAGACAACCCTCCTTTCCACGCTGCCTACGCCAGCAAAGAGCATGCTTAGATGGGGCTTTTGAACCAGTCTGTTCTATGGGACTAAATCAAAGTGTGTTGTTGGGGTTTTTTTTTAAATTTATTGCGTTTTGCTTTTTTAAAGCAGCCTGTGTGCCACAGAGCAAGCTCTGAAAAAACACACATCTGCACAGCAAAATCTTTTTCCTGTCTGGTTGGGGTTTTTATACCCATCATGAGCAACGACATTCTGTTGTGCAGACTTGGTTTCTGACACTTGTCTCCTGTGTCTATTAGATGTTAACCAGCAGTCAGCAGCGTGGAAAAAAACCCCAAACTCAAAGCATACACTGGTACCCAAAACCCCTGGCAGAACAGAAATTATGTATAATACAAGAAAACCTTCAAAGATCTTCCTTTGGCTTGTTTCTGAGAGGCACTTAGGGAAAAAGAGATCCAGACTAAGAGGTCCAGACACCAAAGTGGCACTGGTACATATCAAACGGAGATGCAAAACGGATAAAGATGTTTTCCTGCAAGATGCATGCCCTAGCAGCTAGGCCATCAAACCAGGAATGAGAACATTCCTGTTCCCTGCCAAGCTCCTACTGACCCGAGTAGTGAGTTGGTCCCGGGCAGAGATTTCCACTGCGTGCCTCGGTTCCTCCACCTGTAAGGAGAGCTCTGACACTTGACCTCTTTGCCTAAACGCTCTGAGGTACACAAATCAATAAATAACACACGAATCCTAATGCTTTTGTGACAGATCCTTTTAAAAATTAGACCTTTCTCCCCGTGTTCCATAAAGAACTGGAAATATTTATAGAATTAAAAACCCCAATAATTTTAAACACAGTATTTAGGAAGTAAAATTCAAGACAGTTCAATTTTGTTGCTCACTAGTCCTACAGTGAATCCAATGGTGCAAAAAAGGGTATATTGAAGTGCCTGTAACACCAAATTTGGCAGTTTTTGCACAGGAATCCTAGCCCAGACATTTCAGCTTTTAATTAAAACAGTGGAACGCAGCACTAGTTCTAAATTTCTTAGCCCTTGCGAAGCTCAGATTTTTTTGTGCATGGTGACAGCAATCAGTTTCTGTTCTTCCCACCTTCTCCTTCGGCCTCCTTGGCCAAAGACAAGCAGTCCTGCTTGCGCAGGAATCAGGACAAACCAACGTATGGTCCTGTTTTCCAATAAACTACTCCAGAAGGGAGAAACGTTACTGAAGACCCGTTGCTCAAATCCTGACCTGAAGCATGGGTGAGACAGTTCTGTAACGTGGCACGTTTCTACCGCTGCCCAACGCCAGCCCTACACACGGAGTTTCCTCTGAACACCCCGGAGGTACCAGCGAGGCTGCTTTTACCAGTCTGTCGTTGGCCAGAACCGTTCTGGGACCCGTTCTGGGGAGAGCAGGCATCAAAAGGCAAGCGGGGAGCGGTTCTCTTCATTTCCTTTTGTCCTGCAAAGCCTTCTCCTCTACTTCCCCCTCGCCTCACTAAAAGCAGCGGGTGGGCTTTCAGGGGGCTCCTTCCCCGCACCATCCCTGCCTCCAGCATCACTCATGGCATGGTGGGAAGGCAATTCATCAGCAATTGCAAAGCTATTTGAGATGGTAGGATACAGGGTGTTCTGAAAGTGAAAAGGGCTGTTGTTCTGTCATACAAAGGAGTTTACAACCTATTCCTCCCTCACCCTGGGTGCCCTAATAACAGCAGAAGAGAACACAGAGGATTGTGCTAGACAGGGGGTGCGTGAGAAGGAAGGAACAGAAGGCAGCTGGGTGATTCTCAACTAAAACCTGAGCTCTCTGCTGTTAAGCACCGCAGTCGGTATCCAGCCAAGCGAGGGCTGTGCTACACCACTCCCCAAATTCAGGCTGATGGTTTTACAGGTCTGGTTGCGTGGGACCCCAGGCTAATCCACATCTGGCTTCACACCTTAAGGACAGTTAGTGACGATGATGTGCTGGTCTCTCCGGGGCACCTGAGCAGAGCTACGCAGTTCCAGAGCACGAAGGGTTTGCTGTAATCCCACGTTGGGAACCCACAAGCACGGAGAGACGCTCGAACGCTGCGTGCATGGAATGAAAGTCACCGTAATGCTTCAGACTGGTGCCTCTGTGAGGTGGGTGGGAAATTAAAAAGTGCCACAATGTTAAAAATAAACCTCTGACATCCTTTGCCCTGCCTGAGACAGGCCACCACATGTCAAGAGGATGAAGTGCTCAAAATTTAAAAAATAATGAATCCCAGCCATGTGCTGGCACACGGGCCGTGCTATGTTACTGGCAGCAGAGCTTCCAGTTGCTGCTGCACTGGAAGAAAGAGGAATCTTCTCGCTCTTCTCCCCACTCCTCACTCCGAGTCATCGCAGCAACACTCTTCTGAGAATGTATATGGACTAAACAGAAGACAGTTCATGATTGTGAAAAAAACCCCCCAAACCAGTGACAGCCAGTTGAGGACCAAAAGGATGATGATAATAGAAGGACACTGCTGTGAGACGCATGGCGGGGGGTGTAGTCAGTGCATCTAACAGCAAGCCCAGCCTGGCGGGGATGTCTCTTTTATGTTAATGTAATCCCCGCTCCCGGCAGCAGAGGAACTTCCATCCCCGGTGGATGAGGACATCATCTTTTCAATCAGGACTCTAGAAGACAAAAACACGTGTGAGTTTGCTTTGGTTCGCTGGGGTTTGTTTGAAACAAGCAGCACTGGCCCGCACAGTTTTTCAGCAGCACAAGGAAACAGCAGTTCATTCCTGAAGGACACAACGCTCCACAACTTTGAGGACTAAACAATCAGGCTGAGGAACCTCACAACACAGACAAGAGCGTTACTGCTGTTCCCTGGCAGCATCGGAAGACTCTGCAGTGACCGGATAGCTAACAACGCTTGCTGCAACCACCTCCCCTCGGGTCCAGTTTAGGACTGGGACACAGCAGCCGACTCCTTAGGTACCAGCTGCCCACCCTCAAGATCAGGTGTGAATACCCAGCCCAAGACCTTTCAGAAAAGGCCAAATTCCCATCAGAGGATTGGTGCATCACGTAAGAATTTCTACTATCTTCACAGAAGTCCCATCCTCCTGGTAGAGGCCAGCAGATGAGAAAACATCCCTGGTATTGTTCAAAGAGTTTCTGTTTCCTGAAGCATGTCAGAGCTTAACCAAGGAGAGAAAAACTTCTGACCTTTCAGATTCCAGCTTCCCTTCAGGAGATTTACTTGCATAATATTGCTACTATTTGTCACTTACTGACAGCATCTCCCCTCACCTCAAAGACGGCCACGTCTGAAAGAGGGAATTAACCCTTCAATGTATCACCGGTCATCGTGCCTACCTCATGGACTCATTAATGTTCTTGTTTTCCTTGACAGACGTCTCCACCCAACCAGAAAAGCTTTTTTTACTTCATCTCTCGTCACTGCCCATGGGGAAAGGTCGCACTGTAAAAGAAGAATCACTCATTTGAAGTTTAGCCTTTTAATTTTTAAGCTGGATGGGGAACGCTCCCCCTCAGCCATTTGCTGCCCGTGTGCAGGCAGGCGGCAGGCTCAGCCCTTCACACCTCCCAGATCGCAAGGCGATAGCGCGCTCTTAGGGCAAGGTTCCTAATGGGCTGTTGCAAGCAGCCATATATTTATCTCATCTGAGATGCTGACACGCCTCAGTCGAGCACGCACGGAATGGAGGTGCATCCAGCACGGGATGAGGAAGCCTTGTCACCCATCCCAGATGCGCTCGGGCTCTCCGCGGCAAGGAAACACGAGCGGTGTGGGGCTGACACGCTGACGCCAACGGGGTGTACGAAGAGGCCGTGGGAAACCCTGTCCCTAACAGCTTGTACGAGTGTGGCCGCAGTGCGTACGGCACCACAGATTCCCCTAACGCAGGTAGAACTGTTCCCACAGCCACGGGGAAGCATTCTTTGTAAAGAAGCAGAGAGGAAAAGCCACTCTCCTGCCCACCCATGATGTTTTTGAGTCATCTCCAGTTTTAGGCTCTCTCAAACCAGGCAAGTCTCAAACTGAATGCGGAAGGGGCTGCTGAGCCAACGTTGGCACATGAAGAAAATCAAGGTATTTTTTAATAGAAAGAAAAATAAATCGTAAAAACCCAGCAACCGATCTACGCGGTGAAACTTGACTCTGCATCCAAATGAAAACGAGACATCCCTTTGGGAGCTGAACAGAAACTTCACCTCAGCGTCACACAGCCTTCCCAGGACACTGCCAGTTAAAGAAAAAAAACCACTTTATAACCCAGGAGCTGCAGAGCTCAAGCTCTGGCAGGACAGGGACAGAGCAGTTCATAGAATCACAGAATGGTTTGGGTTGGAAGGGACCTTAAAGACCATCTAGTTCCAACCCCCCTGCCATGGGCAGGGACACCTTGCACTAGACCAGGTTGCTCCAAGCCTCATCCAGCCTGGCCTTGGACACTTCCAGGGATGGGGCATCCACAGCTTCTCTGGGCAACCTGTCCCAGTGCCTCCCCACCCTCTCCGGGAAGAATTCCTTCCTGATATCTAATCTAAACCTCCCCGCTTTCCCTTTAAACCTGTTACCCCTTGTCCTGGCACTCCAGGCCCTTGTAAAAAGTCCCCCCCAGCTTCCTTGTATCCCCCCCAGGCACTGGAAGTTAACACCTCCGCAGTGCCACCCATGTAGCAAGTCCTGCCCAGTTAAGGAGGAGAGAAAGAAAATCCCAGGAGAGTTAAGGGAAGGATCAAAAAGACCACAGGCTATGGGACAGCCCAGGGCAAGGCTTGGTGCTAAAGGGGCCTCCTTCCTCTTTCACTCCCTGCTCACTTTGTTAGCCAGCAGCAGGCAAGGCACGGGGCTCCCGTCCGGCAGCAGCAGCTTGCTGTCCAAATCCTGCTTCCACTTCTGGCTGTTGCTGAACGTGCTGATGTTGGTGACATCAAACATGATAATGCAGGCTGACGCCTCCCTGTAGTACAGCCGGGTCATGGACGTGAAGCGTTCCTGCCCTTCGGAAAGGAATAAAATGACCGGGTTTAGATCTCTTCATGCAAATCACCTGTTTATTGTGGTACATCATTTGCTCGGCCGACACCGTCTCCACGTAAATAACGCGGAAATACAGGCGCTGCGATGCATCCTGCCTGGGGTCCCTTGGCAACAGCACTGGAACAAACTGGGCGGCTCTTATCCCTGACCCCAGACACTCGGGTGTCCCAGAAATAACCTGCATCACTCCCAATGTCACAATTCAAATTCAGCGTCTCTGACCCCACGCTCACCCACCCCGAGCAGAGTCCCGCGGCAGCAGGGTCCCTGGCCACCGCCAGCCGTCCCTGCTCCGGCAGGACCGCGCTGCCAGCGTGGGCTCGTGCTGCTGTGCAGCCTTCCAGGCCGGAGAAGAGAAAGCATCCCACCTCAGACACGGGGTATTGCTGTTTGCACCTGAGAAATGCTCACATGGGGCATGTCTCACAGCGGGGAGATGCCACCGTGGGCTCCCGTGAAGCCCTGCAGCTGGTCACCAGGCTGTTCGCCCTGAAGCCACCAAGCTCTGAGCGCTCGGAGCCACCTCGAGCCATCGGCACGGCTCCGAGGTGGTGGGCAAGGCAGCAGGGACACAGGGGTGCGCATCCCCTTCCGCTCGGGGCATGACGGGCTCTGTGACCAGTTTGGCCACTCTGCTTTCCAAATCTTAAACGCCTTTTCGGGGCTGAAACTGAAATCAGTTTCTTGCTGCAATCCTCTTGCTGCAAACTTCTCCTTCCTGTTTTCTTTTTAAGGATTCCAGATGCATGCGTCTGAGCAGTGAAACCGGAGGAAACCACAACCCTCTTGTCCTCACCCCTCTAGATCCAGAGGTGCCATTTTAGAGATGCTGCAGCACCTCTCCTGCCACCCGGGAGATTCGGGAACGGCGCTTCTCCACCCCTCTCGGGCAGCGGGTGCTCCTCGCTCCGCTTCGCCGCACAGAAGGCTGTCGCCCAGAGCGTGACCCACTCCCAAAACCAGCCCCACCCCCCTGGGGGCACCCAACGGGCTCCTCTTGCCATGACTGCTCCCGAGGGATCCCCCGGCCCTGCTCACACAGTCCCACAGCAGCCCGATCGCATCCCGATCCCAGCAGCCGGCGTGGCTCCCCCGGCCCTGCTCGCACAGTCCCACAGCAGCCTGATTGCATCCCGATCCCAGCAGCCGGGGCGGCGCGAGGCAGAAATCGGGTTTTCACCAGGAGACTCAGAGCTGAGGAGTTATGTATCCAGCTGCAAACGAGCCGGTTTCCCCACTCGCTCTGCTCTGGCTGTGAAACTGAAAAGCAAGGCGCGATCGGGTCCGGCAGCCGCGCCACGGCGTTGCTTGCGGACGGGCGTTGGGTTAAACATTTCAATGGCTACCGCAAGCTGGAGACAGCGCTGCGGACCAGAGCACTCCTGCCCCTTGAACTGAAGGGCTCTTAGGATTAACAGCAGACTCCTACTGAGAAACCGAGGAGAAAAAGAGGAGAAAACCAAAGAGAAAGGCCAAGCCACTGAGAGCTTTAAATTCTGCTCCTGAGCAGCTTCGTGTGCACATACCTGCAATATCCCAGAGCTGAAGTCGTACCGTCTCCGATTCTGACCACTGGACCACCTTCAGGGCAAAATCCACTAGAGAATACCCAAAAAAGAAAGGAGATCGCGTTAGGGCCATTCCACATCATGGGGCTTGTTCCTCCACAGCCCCTCACCCATTCCCAGCGTGCGCCGACCCAGCAACCGCTGTCCCAGCCCCGGCAGCTGGCTGTGGGCTGCCACCCGCCGCAGAACAGAGCTGACACAGAGCAGGAGGGTCTGCAAGCGCCGACCCCTCTCCTGCGTCCCAGAGAGCTGCAAAATCAGTGTTAAATCCAGAGGGCTCCGCAGCCGGCAGAGAGGATGGCCATGTGCATGCAGAACGCCTTCCGATACAGCCCGGGATCCCACGCAGGGCTTCTCCATCCTGAACTCCAGATTAAATACCACTGCGAGCAGGGGCAGAGATGCTGCTCCGCAATTCTTTGGGAAGGAGGAGAGTAAGGTGGAATTTTTCCAGCCAGTGCAGCGCTGGGTGGATACCACCCCCCCAGATCACGGGGTTTTCCAGAATCCCAGACCCCCGGGGTCTGTAACCATCCCATGCACAAGTCCCTGTTTGCAGCAGGGAGCTCAGACATCCCTTCCTGATCCCTGGAGTTGTTACACCGGCACCGGGACACCAACCAAGAGGTAAGGAAACAGAAATTAAAAGGCTTGGGAGTAAGAATTCCTCCAGCACATAACCCTGCACAGCCACAGGCAAACAAAAGGAAGCTGGGGAGTTTTAAGGAAAGCTTCCCTCGCCCAGCTCTAAATGCCACTAAAACGTTGGACTTGCTGCTGTCTGTGCCGTCGGAACCATCCAGCCGCTGGTACGTGGAGCTCCGTGTCTCCCTCACCCCCTCCGTGTCCCACCTTGGCTGAACCCAGTGCCGGGAGCAGGAAGGGGAAATGCTGCGTTTCACCCAGATGATGATGCACCAGGTTTTCACCCCAGGGAAAAACCATCCAGCTCCACCGGCAGCCTGGGATTGCTGGGAGCGACAGCGCGGGCACAGCCCCAGCACCACCCCGGCAGGACACAGTTCTCCAGCGTTTTCAACATTCATCCCCTCTCGACTCGTGAGTAAGAGGATTTGAGGAGCTGGGTTCTGCCCCCACTATTCCAGGTCCTCATGGAGATTTTCCGGGTCAAACCTTGGCACCAACCGCTCCTCGTAGGTTTTTCATTTACGCTGATGTTAAACAACGCACAGCCGAGCCCGCT